CCTCTATATAAAGGTTTACCAAGGTTGGGCACTCCTGCGAAGCGGCTCGACTGATCCACCGAAGGAAAACGGCCGGAAATTCGCTCCAACTGTTCCAATCGCCTCCAAATTCCCCGAGTGTGAGTAATTTGAGTCTCAGGCCGTGTCGCTATCTGTCAACGGTAACGCGGAGTTCAGGCCGAACCTCAGTCGGGCTTCAGACGGGAAAGATTGCAGAGATTTGCGGCCTTTGATTCGCTCTCAGTGCAAAGGAGTCTTGAAGAAAGATAACGAATGGAAAGAAGAACAATCGTGTGTTACCTAGGCGGAATTTGGAGGCGATTGGAACAGCTGGAGCGAATTTCCGGCCGTTTTCCCTTGGTGGATCAGTCGAGCCGCTTGGCTGGAGTGCCCAACCTTGGTAAACCTTTATATAGAGAGAAAACCGTTTACATAAAAACCCATAAAACGGCCATAAATCGGCCCGTGGACCACACAGGAGAGACGTAACACACATTTTAATTATGGTAAGCGGTTTTTTATTGAAATCCTTTCATTTTCGTAGGTTACAGAAACGGTAGGTTTTTTTTTGCCATACAAATCCTTATATTTTGAATGTTACGCAACAATGCCGATGCTCGCCGATGCTTATATTTCGAGCTTGAGCTACCTGTGGTTAACATGAACTCGGGTAACTCTAGATCTAATTCCTCGCTAATAGGAACGAAATGTCGTTTCCCTTGATCCGCACAATTTACCCCGATAGCTCAATTCTGGTTCATCAACGCATGAGCCGCCAAGGCCTTCAGACCCTAACCCTGTTTAAAACAAAATCCGTTCATTTTTCTACCCTGTTTAAGACGGGAGACTGTTATTCATGACCCTGTTTAAGACTGTAGCCCAAATGCCCTGTTTAAGGAGATATTTGCTCTTAAGATAGTATAAAATACAATACAAAATGGAGAAAAATGTATTTTGGAGTCACATACAAAAAGATTTTTTTGAGATTACTGACAGAACAAAATTAGATTATTTCAAAAAACTTCGTTACACACGTAGAACCCACACCGCCAAAATCCACACCCTGTCTTGGGCTTCGGGTCTAAAAAGACACCCCGTTTAAGACGCTCAATAGTGAAATTATATACCCTGTTTAAGACTCAATACTCTGAAAACCATACCCTGTTCAGCGGCACAAACCCGTATAGGCCAAATAAGGGAGTGCCACCTCCCCCGGGGCGAAGACAAGGCCAAATGAAACTCTGAAGCACTTAAAGTCGAAATGAAAAACCAGTGGAAAACGTTTAGGTAATGCGTGACAAGTTAGTAAACTGTAGAGCAGAAAAAGCGCGTAGCGCGAGGTCATTATTTCTCAGATCAGAGAAAAATCAAGAAAAAAAAGATTGTTATAACGGATTTACTTAGTATTTTAGAGGCACAAATGCATTTTGTGTGCTTAATTAACTGATTTCCACTAACATTAATAAGATATTAAGCGTATCCAGAGAGGCGCGCCGGGGTCTATAAAAAACCGAAAAACCGCGATAGGTTTCGATCAAAACCGTAAACCGCATACAAAACCATCGAAAAAAAAAAAGGCCGAAGATTTACACAGCTCAATTTTCACAAAACCCTGGTGTAGATCTCAAACGTTGGTGATATGTGGAACATGCAGACTACTCAATATCACATCATAATTCTATATGTTGATATCATCACAGTATCAGCACTATCTATGGATGCTATGGTCGTAAAACCGTCATATCTGGCCTAGGACCCTCTAGGAGAATTCACAAAGAACCTTAATTAAATGGTAATAGTGGACAGTAGGGTAAATTTTGCGTCGCGAAAAGCTCTCCAGGTGAAAACCTCCATTATAAATCCAAAATCCCACATTGCAGTTTGATCTCGATTGACTGTAAAATAGAAACATAAAGTAGCCAAACATGTGACTGCACAGAGACCCACAGAGTAATCTCATCCTCACAGTTTGTTACTTTTTTGAGAAGGAAGTCAAAGACTGACCTGTACGGACTCTCAATGTGGTTTTTGTGGACATCAAAACCAATTACAAGCCGACTGAAACCTTTCAACTGATACACACTTTACCTCGTGCCACACTCCGGGGGTGAAAAGATCTTTCATTAAAGGCGAAGCAATAAGATTGCTTAGAACAGGAAAAAAACAAACATTTGAAGAGTGCCTTGCGAACCTTAAATGACGCCTCCAAGCCCGAGGGTATCCTAAACAAGATAGATATCAGATAGCCTGTGTACACAGGCTATTGTCAGAGGTCAACTTTGACTTAATAAAACAAAAAGCAAAAAAGCAAAGAGAGACCCTATTGCCTTTCCGGTATCACCCAGCGGTACAAGATCTTAAAAAGAAATTGATGGCAAACTGGAGTCTAAAATAGAAAATCAGCCTCTGTTGAAAGAAAACAATTTTTGAGACCTCTGATCATATCCTACAAAAGAGGTAAATGTCTAAAAGACATGTTTGTGAGAGCAAAAATGTAACTGGAAGGCAGTTGATAATGCGACACAACCACAAAAACTACATTGGGAGCCCGTGCGGGTTTGTCTTTGGCTTCCTTCCAAATTGGGAAAACCGAAAGCCACATCAGACACCAAAATCCGAAAAACCGCATTTTTTTTGCCAAAAAAACGAAAAACCAGATGCTAAAAAAGGGAAAAACGGGAAACCGCAACGGACAAAAACACCGAAAAACCGAAGTTTTTCCGTGCAAAAGCCGAAAAACCGCCCTAAAAGATGACCAAAACTGAAAAACCGAAAATCCCAACGCCCCCTCTATCTATTCACCCAATTACAGTGAGGGAAACAATCAAAGCGCGCCATCCGATCAAGTGAATAAGAATTTCTTGGACAAACTGTCGGATATATATTTTTGGGCGTAAAATGAAACTGGAACGGGACGGTATGACTGGAATGCGCAAATCTAACTGGTCCCAACTAACTCGCGGAGTGAACTAAGGTTACCGCAGAAGTTCAATAGAACGTGTCGGTTATTCAGGTTATTGAAACTGGGTTTAGAGGGAGTTTAAGGCCCTGTTTACAGGAGGGTTACCATAACAAGAGGGTTACCTTAGTACTCACACATTTCTTCTTTTTTGACACGACGTGTTTACAAGGAAGGTAGGGTTACCCTAGCGTAGGGTAACCCTACCTGAGTGCTAGGGTTACCCTAACTACCTTGTAAACGCTCTGCTAGGGACACCAGTAATCTTGACAATTTGGACGGAATTATCCAATTTCTGAGCTAAATTATAAACATCTGAACAATATAAGGTATTTTCTGTATACGATGACAATATTTTCCCGTTTGTTTAAAACGTGTTTTCCATAGAGAACGTGTATTTCAAATCTTGGACGTCACAAAGAATGTCACGCTTGACGAAACGCGTAAGTAAAGCTGGTAAAGTTGACCCGGCTGATAGGGTAACGCTACCTGTGAAATTTGCTTGTAAACAAGATCTCCTTTCAACCCACTTGCTAGGGTAACCCTAGCATAAGGGTAACCCTCTCTCCTTGTAAAAAGGCCCTAAGAATATAGACTGCTTTCTATCAACCCTGGCATCTACACAATGTTTGCTGTGCACAATATCAAGAAGACTTCAAGAAGAAGCTTGAAACTGAATCACTTTCTCTCTTGAAGGAATCCACTCTCCAGAAAATTTCTCTTAGACAGACTTTGTTTTAACCCTGTTCAGATGGGGCTTTAAATATGGAACCCAACATCTGCCATTTGGTTATTTTCATTTTATGTTTTGTCTCAAAGCAGCATCGAAAAGCCTGGATTACACTAACACTTATAACAAATGTGATAACATATTGCTAAATTAAGTACGTGTAACGCCGTAATTTAATATAAAGTAAAAATATAGAGATATATCTTTTTTTATTGGAAAAAAAGCAAATTTTGAAAAACAGGGCTGTCAATACTCAGTTGCCATGGCAACGTCGATGTTGATGTACACGTCACGACGATTTAAAGTGTTTCCAGATAATTTTTAGGAAAAGTCGGCAATGCTTAGAAAGAGAAAGCATTCAAAAATTGATCGAAGCTCTTAGAATAGATTTTATCGTGTTAACGCACACACACCAAAGAACCTTAATCATTCTGGATAACACATCGGCATCAGTCTTTTTACCTTTAACGAAATTAAACGTTGTGTTCTCGTTGAGCATAATAAATTGACTCGCCGCTTTATAATGTTTCATAATAAAGTTTAGAGCATATCAGAGCGAATTATATATTTTTTTCTCATTATCAAAATAGGAAAAACCTTGTTACGACAGAAACAATTGTAGTAGGACTCGCTGAGACATTGTTCGGGGTGTCAGTAAAACGCGGGGTCGGGGTCGGGGCCGGGCCGGGGCCCGGACCGGGGTCTATCTTATTTTAGGAAAGCTGTTTTTAGGGTAAACCTAACTCTAAACCTAGACTTTACCCTAAAACAGCATTCTTTTAAAAAAAGATAGACCCCGACCCCGCGTTTTACTGACACCCCATTTTCCGCGCCATTTTTATAAGTTGTGTGTTCATTTATTCTCTTTTTTGTTCCTATAGATTTGTTTCATTTGTTTATATATTTACTTAACTCTACTTTTTTTAGAAAACGTTTTTTTTTTTCGACTTTGGCTTGACAGATTTTAACCAACTCTTTATACTTGTTGTGCGGATCCGACTAATGCTCTCATGCTTAAAAATCGTCATTTGAAAATTGTGCTTACAGTCAAAGCAGGTCAAGCGTTACCGTCGCTAACGAACTAATGAATTCATTCACGGAAAAATGAGTTCTTTTTTTGACTCAATAATCCATTCATAAAATGAACCATCCAATATTCATATTTAGCCTCGATTCCATAATCGAATGTTGATTCCATTTCTGTTTTTTGAAAAACTGCACTTTCCACAAGTCGACCTCAGAATTTTTTTTTTCCTTTTTTTTTTCTGAGAGTCGAGTGCGGGCGAGTTCTGAAGTTCAAACCCAAACAAA